GTATGATGCAGGAGTGACCAGTGCTTGGGATTAGCCAATTAGGCGTCCTCCAAAATTTTCGTCCTTTTAACCTGACTTTCTCTTTCTTCTCTTCTACATTACTAAGAGAGCACATGTATTTTGCCCCCACCTTTTAGAGATCTCTCATTCAGGAGATAGATATAACTAATCTTGCTATTAGGTGAGTCTCTGTTTTTGTTTTCAGGCTATTTTTAGGATTTGTCCTAAAAAATAGGCAGTAGTGTTTTCCGATTTTGATCTTGTTCTTGGTTTCTTCTAACAAATTCATTTGTTAGTTTGAAATTTGTTCTTTTACTTCCTTTGTTGTTGACAATCTTTCTTGGTGAAATACAATCTCTCATTATATCCTTTGAGAATTTCATGCTTACAAAGATCAAACTCAGTTCCATAAGACAAAATGCAATAACGTTGTTGCCTGTGTTAACAACATATGAAGATAAAAATTTTTTTGGCATTTTGGATTCATCAATTATTACTATCCATCATCTGAATCTTCTTCAAGCTCACTTCCTTCCACAATCTCTTCTTCTTCAGAGCCTTCTTCGACAAGGTCATCCTCTGGCTTATCAAGCAAAAGTTCCTCTCGAGAGACCATGCCTAACCCTCTAGCTCTGTAAAGAAACCCTGTTCTCATCACATGATAGAACTTATCTCTAAGCCGAGTAAGAGGATGCGGATCCACTAGTTTCCCACGACGATACCCTTCTTTGAGAATCACAGTTGTTGTCTTACACTTTAATGAGAGGTAGAAAATCCCAGGATATCGCGTGAACAGACGAGTGAACTTATGCGGAATGTTGAGCTCTGCTCTCATGCTTCTCAAGTAGTTCCTCTTGGTTTTCTTGTGGATAGTTAAGCTCAAGAGCTCGTGCAAAACTCCCACAGCTCGTTTCTCCATGAGATCGCTTTCCGGGTCAATGTTACTCGAGTCATCATAAGGAGATATGTAAGGAAGTTTCTGAAACTCATCCATCCATGCTTTGACCTTCTTCTGTGCTCCATATCCTCTAGGAAAACTCATAGGGAAAGTCAACGAGGCCTGACCTTGTTTGAACTCGCGGTAACTAGAATCCTCCCCGGTAACAACACTGCTCTCATTTCGCTTCTGCAACGCAGAGAATGCGAATTCATCACGCCAATTTACAAGCTTTAGACACGGGTTTCCATTAGAGGCCTTGACAAAGCAGAAATGATCAGGGTATTTCATGACTAGTGTCTTTTCGTAGTTATCCGGTAACCCGAGATCGAATTTCAGAGAATGAAGTGATCTGAGAGAGACAGTTCTTGTTCTCATCATCATCAAAACTCTACAGAGTCTCTCCACTGTATCAGCTTCATGGCTTTTATGAATGATCTCTTCCTGTGAGTCTAGCATAAGTGCAGTGTCCGTTAGCTTGAAACACGGTAAGCTTGCGTAACGAGCATGCGGAAACTCGTGAAACAGAGTCGGATACCTGCAAAAACGTCGACTTTTCATTACCATTCTCACAAATTTCGTCAAAATTGATTACTTTCTAATCCATTTCTCAAGCAACAATTTGAAACTGAAGAAGAAGAGATTGAAGGAGAAGCTGATTGATACCTGCGCAAGAAGCGAAGAACAGGGACGGTGAGTCCGAGTAGTTTTTGCCAATCGGCGACGGATTTCGCGGTGAGGAAACCGGTTGGAGATCGTTTAATGGCGTCTTTGAGAATGCAAGCTGCTTTGAGATCGGTCTCTGTATCAATGACGTGATCTAAGTTCTTGTTCTTCACCCATTTTAATCTCACCTTTGTCATTGAACCCATTCCTCGCCATTGTTGATGCTGCTGGTGAAAGAGCTTACTCACTGAAAAGAGAAAGCTTTGGGATTTGGCAAACATCTAGAAAAGCTTTTAACTTTCACGTATCTCTCTCCAAGCAAATGGAAACAGGAGTATCTGCAATTGAAAGAGACAAATAGGTTTAGGGTTTAGGGCTCATCATTCGAAGCATGGAAGGAGAAATGCGGGGAGGAGAAGTAGACAAGGTGCTCGACGAAATTCCTGAACGAATCTCAAAGCTTACATTTTTCGAGTTCTAACTCTAGGCCCACCTGCTACAGTAAAGGTAAGCCCTTTAACTGGCTTCACGAATTATATTTACAGACAGAACCTAAACCAACTTCGACCTTTGTCTGCGGTAAACCCCAAATTTGCAGAAACAACTTCCATTTCGCTGAGACTCGACTCTCGACGTATCTCTGTTTCGTTCTCCTCGATAGTCCTCAAGCTGATAGGTTGAAAAATCCGCAAAGCTTTGGATTGAGAATCATGGAAGC